AGGAGGGTTCAGGGGGTGCCAGCCAGGGGTTTGTCCCTCTCCTGAGGGGCTGGAAGGGTTTGTCCTGAGGGGCTGGAGCAGCAGGAGGGGCCAGGAGGTGCCAGCCAGTCCCTGTTATCCCAGTTTGTCCCTGTCCCTGGTGTCTGAAAGGGTCTCTCCCCACAGGACAGAGGCAGTGGAGAAGGCGTCGATGCTGAGGACAAGAGCCATGAGGGAGAAGGAGGAGCAGAGGGAGATGAGGAAGTACAACTACACCCTGCTCCGGGTGCGCTTTCCCGACGGATACATCCTCCAAGGTAAAAAAAAGGCTCCTCACCCTTCCTTTGGGCACCTCCTGAGGGTGCTTGTGGGATAAAAAACTGAATATTAACACAGCTCGTGGAATAAAACACCAAACCAGAGCAGGGTGTTTCTCCAAGAATTCCCATCTCCATCACCTGCTCAGGGTTGGGATTTTAAGGTTGAGAAGAATCCCAAGGCATCATTCATTAAAAAGCCTCCTCTTCCCAAAACCTCTGGGAACAAGCTGGACTCATTAGACCAGTGTGTCACAGGAACCAGCACGAGGTTGTACAACAGCACAAATCCTCTTCCAGTCTTCCAGCAGAACTCTGGAAATCACTTCAGGCTTTCCCAGCTCTTTGTCACGGCCTGGCAGGGGCTTGCAATGATTGAATAACTTCCTCTGGGCACTCTGCTTTGAGGCCTTTCCAGTTCAATCAGCCTGGCTGTGTGGCACTGAAGTAGTTGAGAGAGTCAGAGCCCCACGAAAGGGGCCACAAAAGGTTGGATTTTTGGGAAAAGCTGGACTCCCTCACCTCGTTTTTCTCATGGCAGGGACTTTTTATGCCCGAGAAGCAGTGTCTGTGCTCTACAGCTTTGTGAGGGAAGCACTCAGAGATGACTGGCTGCCCTTTGAGCTCCTGGGACCTGGAGGGGTCAAACTGGCTGATGAGAACTTGGCCTTCAATGAGTGTGGGCTGGTGAGTGAAGAAAACACTGAGCTGGTGCCTTCCCCAGGGTCCTGAGGTGTTCAGAGTCCCCCTCTAAGCTTGTTCCAAAATCCCTCATCTGCTTTTAGAGAGAACTTCAGCCCCTTCCATCACAGTCTCGGAGCCTGGGGGGAAGTTTGTGTGTCTTCAGCTTTCAGAGCCCCAAGTTGTGCTCCCTGGCCCCTCTTTTTAAGCACATTTTAAGCACAAGCAAACAAGAAACTGCTTAGAGGCTTTGAAGTCTGGAGGGAACTGCAGGGACCTCCCTCCTGGAGCAGGAGTTGCCAGCAGCTCTGCCAGAGGCTGAGCAACCACACTGGGAAAAGAGGGAAGGCAGCAAAGGCAAGGCAAGGTTGTGAACGGAAAGCCCAGAGCAGCGTCTCCCAGAAGGAGCTTGTGGCAGAAATCCACCCTTGTCCCTTTTAGCTGAAGTTTTCCCAGCTCTGGGAAGGCACACAGAGTGTTATAAGCTCAGGGAAACTGTGGCTGCTCCATCCCTGGAAGTGGCCAAGGCCAGGCTGGAGCAAGCTGGGATAGGAGAAGGTGTCCCTGCCCACGGTGGGGGGGGGGTGGAGCAAGCTGAGCTTCAAGGTGCCTTCCAGCCCGAAGTATTCCATGATTTCCTGGCTCACTAACGTGCCTCTCCCGTGGCAGGTGCCCTCAGCCCTCCTGAGCCTGTGCTGGGACGCAGCAGTCATGGCAGACATCGAGGCAGCGGGAGAGGAGCAGCCCCGGAGCCCCCTGAGGCCGGAGCTCCTGGCCGGGGTGCAGACCCTCCCCTGAAATAAAGGGCAGTGGGTTCAGCGCTGCTGGTTTTAGCCTCTTCCCTCCCTTTCCCAGCAGCTCCCAGCTGGGTGAGCTCAGGGCTGGCTGTGGGGTGGCTGTGGGGTGGCTGTGCAGAGGGGGAGCCCCGACTCTGTCCCTCCCTCGGGGGGGGTCTCACCCAGCGAGGCACTTCCTGCACTGCTCCCAGGGGGGGTCAGCACCACATTCCAGGAGGGTGTTCCCGAGGCAGAGGGGGAGCAGGGATTAGTGCTGCTAGGCTGGATCACCACCCTGAGCCCGGGGGTGGGGCTGGGTTTAGGACTCAGCTTCCCCTTTGGCTTCCGTGTGCACTGTAACTCCTGCGGGAGAGAGCAGATCGGGGGAAGGTGACACTTAGTCTGATTAAATGGAATTATTTAAAGACTCAGCTCTGCTCCAGGTTATTTGGACTGCGTTGTCATGGGGTTGGAATGCCCAGCCAGGCAGGGCTGGGGCTGGCACTGGTGTTACTGGGGCAGCCTGACCCCTTTTTCCCTGACACCAGTACCAGCTGCTGGTGGTGCCCACTGGGGCTGTGAACACCCTCAGCCTGCACCCAGCCTTTCCAGGGACTAATTAACAACCCACCAATCACACAAAACTCAAAGTTTGCTCCCTCTCCCATCAAGTTTGATGCCAGTTTAGTCCTTTATACCTCAATCTTGGTGTTTTTCTGTGGGCCAGAGACGAGCTCTGATGTAAACAGGGACTGATCATCTGTAATTAATTCCAAAATAAAAGCAACAAGATGCTTTTTTTTCCCCCCCCCTCCTCTTCCCGAATGTGCTGCAAGTAAAACCACAAACAGGATTGGTACAAGAGCATAAATTCATATATAATTGTACATCATTTATACCCAAGGCCACGCTGTACAACATTATGAACAGTCATCATTCCCCCCAGTGGCATCACAATAAGCTTATCCCAAAAATCCCTCAGCTACTTCCAGAGATAATTTAAGATACCTTCCATTACAAAGAAGTATCAAAATTTCAATAATGCTTTATTAAGGACAGATTAATATGCAGTTTGTTGTTTGTTGTTGTTTTTTTTTTTTTAAAAACCAAGCTAAAAAAAGCTAAAAATAAAAAAAAAAAAAATATAAAAAATTTAAGCTTCCATCTGGGCTGAAGCAGAACAAAGTGCTGTCTTCTCTTTACAAGAAATGTGGAATACTTTCAAGTATCTTGGGCGAAGATACACAGGGTTTTAAAGTTTTCTAATCCATTCTACATACATACAGAGGAGTTAGTAGGCGTTTTTAAGTCTCAAATTGTATTAGATGGGCTGACCCTGCTGCTGTCCTGGTGAGCAGCTCTTGTCCCACTGGATTCTGAAGCTGGAGAGTCTGCAAAGGACAAAACATGTTGGGTTTTGTTGTTAAATATCCTCAGGAATCCAGCAGAATTTATCCCCTCCCTGTTTTGTCTCAGCTTCCTGGGTCTGTTGCGAGCCCCCTTCTTGCCAAACTGGTTTGAAATTTAATATTTATTTATTTAAATTTAACTGGTTTCATATTTAATATCACCAATCCAGAATAAAAAAAAAAAAAAATAAAAAAATCACTTCAACCATAAAAAAAAAGGGGATTTTCCTAATCTTTTCAGTGCCTTGAGCTGAACAAACCCAGCTGCATTTTGTGCCACCAGAGCCTGAGGGAGGGAAGCTGCTGAGTGGCACCTCCAGAACAAGGGGTGACAAACCCGAGGCGAGGGTTTCATCTCTCAGAGCCTGGTAATCAGGCAAAAGCAGCTTAGAGATTAAAGCCAAGCTGCTTGTCAGGCAGTTCCAGGGTGGGTTTTTTGGGGAGGTGAGAGGATGGAGCAGCAGCTCCAGAGAGAAAGGAGAGCCCGGATCTGCCCGGGGTGGGTCGGACCCTACGGAATTCACGTGCAGAGGCTTTATCTGGAGGAGCTGCCCAACACAAACCCTGCTGGGCTGAACTCAGGGGTGCTGGGAGAGCTCTTAGAATCATAGAATCATAAAATCAGATGGGTTGGAAAGGACCTCTGAGATCATCAAGTCCAACCCTTGATCCACTACCACCACAGTTGCTAGACCATGGCACTGATGCCACATCCAGCCTCATCTTAAAAACCTCCAGGGATGGAGAATCCCCCACTTCCCTGGGCAGCCCATTCCAATGGCTGAGCACCCTCTCTGCAAAGAAATTCTTCCCAATCTCCAACCTAACCCTCCCCTGGCACAGCTTCAGACCGAGCCCTCTTGTCTTGCTGATGGTTGCCTGGGAAAAGAGACCAACCCCCCCCTGGCTCCCCCCTCCTGTCAGGGAGTTGCAGAGAGTGAGGAGGTCTCCCCTGAGCCTCCTCTTCTCCAGGCTGAACAACCCCAGCTCCCTCAGCCTCTCCTCACAGCACTTGTGCTCCAGTCCCTTCCCCAGCCTCGTTGCTCTCCTCTGGACCTGCTCCAGCCCCTCAATGTCCTTCCTGAGCTGAGGGCCCAGAACTGGACACAGCACTCCAGGGGTGGCCTCACCAGTGCTGAGTCCAGGGCAAGAATCACTTCCTTGGACCTGTTGGCCACACTGTTCCTGAGCCAGGCCAGGACCCATTGGCCTTCTTGGCCACCTGGGCACACTCTGGCTCCTGTTCAGCT